TCTTGTCCTGCTCTGTAAGGGAGAAGCTGCAGTGATCTTGACCACAGTTATTTATACTAATGCCAAGCTTCCCTTTCTGTTTTCTTAATCTTCTACCTGTTCAAGAGAATGGCCTGTTTTAAAACATTTAATTGCTGATATTCTGGAGGGACTGGACGTATTTAAATCAGCTGGTCCTGATGATCTCCACCCTAGAGTGCTGAGGGAATTAGCAGAGGTCATTGCAGGACCCCAGGCACGGCGGCGTTATGAGCATTCATGGTGCTCTGGTGTGGTGCCAGATGACTGGAAAAGGGCCAGCGTGGTTTCCATTTTCAAAAAAGGGAGGAAGGAGGACCCAGGAAACTATAGGTCAGTTAGTCTTACCTCGATCCTGGGTAAGCTTTTTGAGAGAATTATCTTGGTGCATGTCCACAAGGGGCCAGCAGGGGAGGTTATGCTTAGGGGTAACCAACATGGGTTCATTAGAGGCAGGTCCTGTCAGACCAACTTGGTGACCTTCTATGACCAGGTCACAAAATCCTTGGACGCAGGGGTAGCAGTGGATGTAGTCTTTCTAGACTTTAGGAAGGCCTTCGACATGGTCTCTCACCTCATTCTCATTAAAAAACTAGGGGACTATGGCATCGACACCTACACAGTCAAGTGGGTCGCTAATTGGCTGGAGGGCCACACCCAAAGAGTGGTAGTGGATGGGTCATTTTTGACCTGGAGGGATGTGGGCAGTGGGGTCCCCCAGGGCTCGGTCCTCAGACCTGCACAGTTCAGCATCTTCATCAGTGACTTGGATGAGGGGGTAAAGAGCACCCTGTTCAAATTTTGCTGATGACACTAAGATGTGGGGGGATGTGGGCATGCTAGAAGAGAGGAATAGGCTGCAATTGGACCTAGATAGGTTAGAGGGGTGGGTCGATGAGAACAGGATGGGTTTCAACACTGACAAGTGCAGGGTGCTGCACCTGGGAAGGAAAAACCTGCAGCATACCTACAGGCTGGGGAACTCCCTTCTCCTCAGGGCAGAGACAGAAAAGGATCTTGGAATCATTATTGATGCCGAAATGAACATGGGCCGGCAGTGTGGGGAAGCGGTAGGAAAGCCAACCACGCCTTGTCATGCATCGACAGATGCATCTCGAGCAGGTCCAAGGAGGTGATCCTCCCCCTCTATTTGGCACTGGTCAGGCCGCAGTTGGAGTACTGCGTCCAGTTCTGGGTGCTGTGCTTCAGGAGGGATGTGGACAACTTGGAGCGGGTCCAGAGGAGGGCCACTTGCATGATCAGGGGCCAGCAGGGCAGGCCCTGCGAGGAGAGGCTAAGGGACCTGAACCTGTTCAGCCTCCACAAGAGGAGGCTGAGTGGGGATCTAGTGGCCTGTTACAAACTAGTCAGAGGGGACCAGCAGGCATTGGGGGAATCCCTGTTCCCCCGAGCACTACCAGGAGTGACAAGGAATAACAGTCACAAGCTGGCAGAGGGTAGATTCAGACTAGACATCAAGAGGCGCTACTTCACTGTCAGGGCGGCTAGGATCTGGAACCAACTTCCAAGCGAAGTGGTGCTGGCTCCTACCCTGGGGGTCTTTAAGAGGAGGTTAGACGAACACCTTGCTGGGGTCGTTTGACCCCGGTACTTTTTCCTGCCGTGGCAGGGGGTCAGACTTGATCTGCTCAGGTCCCTTCCGACCCTACCAATTATGAAACTATTTCTTAATTGGTATTTTCTGGGCTTATATACCTCCACCAATGTGAGGCACTGTGAGGCACTAAGGCACACCATGAAACTTCAGAATATATATATATATATATATATATTCTGTGGACTGGAAGGAAATTGGTTGTCTGAGTCTTCCTTTTCTGTCCTTGATTTTGCAGTTTTTAATTTAGAAGGAGGCAGCAATTCAGTATTATTGTTCTTTATGTCAGAGTCTGGCTATATATACTAGTCTGCTTATATTGTGGATATGCTTGCAGTTTGTGTCTGTACATCTGTGGTGGTGTTTCAGAAACTTAAGGGCAATTCTAAAATAAAATCTCTTCTCAAGTCACCCTGCTTTGCACTGGAGGTATTCCAGCAAGTCACAGGTTTCTTGATACTGTCCTCAAAGAAGCATTTTGGTTGCTGTGACAACCACTCCTGCACTGCAAATCACAGCTCTGCTTCTTGCCCAGGGTTCACCACCTAGAGATATGCAGCTTTTTTTGAACCTCTCCACCCACTCAAAACCTGCTTTTGAGCCACATGGTTTTAACACTGTTGTGCCACAATTCTGTGGTGAATTTCACTAGGCAGCACATCTTCAGCCCACAAAAAAGGAATGATGGAATACTTCTTTTGGGCACACTGACAACTACATGGCCACACTGTTTACATGCTTGCTAGCATCATACATATGCTTTGTGCAAAATGATGGGTGCGTTCAACAGCGCTGCCAGTGGCATTCCCTGCTGCATTGTAGTTTCTCACTGTCACAGGTATGCAATGTGGGCAGCCATTTTGCCGTTAGTTTTTGAAGCACCCTTGTACTTGCAACTCCACACTCTTTTAAAAGTAATTGTTAATGAAGATAAATTTTTATATAGGTGCCATTTATAGGTGGCAGTTGTATAATAAAAGTATTAGATGGTAACTATCTCATGTTGAATTGTAACTGTAGATCACCATCCTGTACAAGTAGATGTTGGGATAGATGATATTTTAGATAACCAACTTGGGTAACTCCAGCGGATGGGCTTTGGTGAAAGATCAAGTCTCCAAACCAGTCATGAAGTTCCATGGCTGGGGGTGCATCAATAGAGATTTGGGAGCCAATACCAGTAGCCAATTTTTAAGGAGGCATTTCAGCTGATACTGATCTGATTTCTGGTATGCAGCCTGGCAGCTTGGAGAGCTGCGTGGACCTGGTAAGTCTGGTGTGGTGGAAGGGGATGGGGAAGAGGTATGGGAGGATGACAGATCAATGCCCTTGTGGTGAGGGAGGAATGAAGCTGGGTCAGGGGCTGCCCAACTGGGGTGGGTCACAGGATGGAGCCGTGGCTCATCCGGGGGGGGGCGGGGGGGGGCAGCTCCCACTGCTGCATGCACCCTAGGAGGGCGTGAGGGGGGGAGCAGCTGTGGGCTGGGGCCAGGGTGGTCCTGGGCTCTTCTTGCAGCGGGAAAGGGGGAGGGGAGTTGATCCGGGGCTGCATTTGTGGCAGGCGGGGGTGGTGCTGGGAGGGTAGCTACAGCCACCCCAAAATTTGCTGTAGCTCCCCCCACTCCTCCCTCCTAGCGCTGCCACTGCCCACCCCAAGCATAGTCTGGCCCAACATCCTTTCTCTCCCACCCCTCCCCCACACACCAGGAAGAGCCTGGTGTGGCCCTGGTCCCAGCCCTCCCTGTGCAGATAAGGGGTACATGCCCCTATCCCATGCCCTCCCAGGGTGTGTGGTGGTGGTGGAATCTGCCTTCCCCCCAAGCTGTGGCTCCATCCTGTGTCCTGCCCTGACTGAGCAGTGCCTGCCTCTGCTTCAGCCCCAGCACCACTCCTTCCCTCACCTCAGGGGGCCTTAACCTGCCTGTCCCATGCCCCCCTCCCCTTGTACCACAACAGACTTACCAGCTATACACAGTTCTCCAAGCTGCTGGGCTGTGCCCCTTGCTGCCTATGTGCTGCGCTGCAGCTGTGCGCATTCATGATTTAAGTGATTTTTACTTGTGCAAGTCCCTGGGACAGTATCAGTATTACAACCTGAAGTCAGTTGCAGCATTTAAAAATAATATTGTTACAAGCAGCTGGAAACCATTCCATTTTAATGAGGCATGAAATCAGTTTCACCTGTGTTGTGGTCTGTGATCCTGAAGTGGTGAAAATGTTGTAGAAAAAGTTTTCAGGGAGATTACATGCTTAGGAAGAATCCAAAGCAAACTTGTGACAAGGCTTTAAGGCAACCGCTGAGGGTGGGGTTAGAAGCACCATGGGATGGGGAAGATGGCAGGGCCAAACTGCGTGTTGCCAATCCCCCATGCTGCTGCAGGCCAGATTCAGCTCAAGGACTGTATGTTGCCACCCTGTACTCTTAAGGCAATGGTCTCGTAGCTTAAAAAAAAAGTGAAATATAACCAGTGCAGTCAGTACAATGTTATCTTCATTTGTTATGCTGCCCATACATCTTTAAGTGGAGATATAAAAGTGGTGAAGTTCTGCATCAAGAGGTGTCTTCAGTTCAGAGTCTTTGCATTGTACCTTTGCACTGCTTGCAGTTCTTGGGGATCCCCGCTGCTTGCAGGGAAGAATGTGTTGCACATTAAATAGTAAGCTGTCTACATTTAATAAGTGTATGGTCTGGTAACATAGTTAAAATTGATTGGCTTTTCCCTTTTTTAACAATTGTTTCCCTTTCAAACTGTGCATTGTGGTGATACTGTTACACCAGCTAATGCTCCATCTGGAAGTGAGTGCCCTTTCTGGATTAAAGGGAGTTTGTTACAGTTTGAAGTACTTCCTTCCTAACTCCTCTTATCTGTCAACAAAGGGTTAATGTTAGAACACAGTTGTTAAAATATATGTGGCAACTTGTTCCTCAGTAGGACTCCTGAGAGTTCAAACAGCTTTCTCAACTGTACGTTTTAATAATGAAAAGTATTTTCTGTTGTCTTTGTTTCTTTGAGAGTTGACATTAATATGCCCGTGATTTGTTTCACTGTCAGCATAATTCAGGGATGCTTTGTATTCTCTTGTTTGGCTGTCTGTATTAGTAGGACAAATAAGCAGTGGTTATAGGCTCTCTGTTAACTTTCTGCCAGTTTGGTGTCTCTCTCTCTCTCTCTCTCTCTCTCTCTCTCTCTCTCTCTCATATATTAAGGTGCAGCCAGAAGATTAATCTACATTCAAAATGTACATAAAAGTGGCGCTTAAGCTCCCTCAAGACTCATTAGTTGCACTTTAGGGCTCACTCTTGTTTTAACTACCATATGTAATCCTTATTTTGGCTTTGTTTTGACTAAGATTTGTTCATCTGGATTATATGTAATCTGTGTTTTAGGAAGCTGAATATGGTGGACATGATCAGATTGATTTGTATGATGATGTCATTTCTCCATCTGCAAATAATGGAGATGCCCCAGAGGACCGTGATTATATGGACTCTCTCCCACCATCTGTGGGAGATGATGTAGGTAAAGGAGCAGCACCAAATGTGGTCTATACCTATACTGGAAAGAGAATTGCATTATACATTGGGAATCTTACCTGGGTAAGTGTTGGAATACCACTGCTTGTTGGTTTACTGCTTTAATATAGGCAGTAATTATAAACTGGTCAGTTCTATGCCTTGTATTAGACAGAATTTTGTGAAAATAATTACAATTTTGTTTGACTTATACTTCAAAATTAAATTAAAAGGGCACTAATGTCTTAGAAGTATGGGGAGACAGGGCTTTTCTATAATTATTGTTAAAAGGTTGTGGGAAAGATGTTAAGGCGTAGCTCAGAGCTGTACAAGTGGAAGAGGTTTGCAAGAAAAACAAACATACTATGAAGGAAAGTTACTTCTGCAACACTTTTAGGATTTTAGGGAAATCCCTGAAAGGATAGATGAGTGGATGAAAAAAATAGAACAAATTAACACTCAGCTATACCTTATGCCTGCAGATTTATTACTTTCAGTAATCCTTTTTAAAGCTTTCACTTAAAAGTGAACTGTAGAGTAATGTGTAGAGAAATCTTCCTCATCCTCAAAAACTGCAGTGACCTTCCCAGTGAAACCGTTTCAAGCATCTGCCTTTATATTTGCTTCTGCAGTATTTTAAACTGCTGCAGATCTGGGAACATTGAGCCACACTTGTGTTCTCAGAGGCAGTTTCTTGTTTACTCTGAGCTGGTCTTAATGCAGTGTACGTTGTTTGAAGATGCTAGGTCACTAGCTGAACTAATCAGACTTTACAGTTAATCTGAAGACAGATTTGCCCATCTCTGTATGCAAAATACTGAATTCCTAAAGTCTTTGCTAGTGTTACATGTACAAGAAAATGATCCATACTTTGTTGTAGGAGTTTGTTGTCATTAACTGTTGTAATATCCCCATTTCAGGACCTGACAGATAAGTAAAGGACAGAATTCATTTGTCAAACTCATTTGAAAATATAATTGTATAGATAAAAATGTTATAACCTGTTGGCTTGACTTCATTTCACTTCAATAAGAGCAGAGTTAGGCCAGGGTTTTAAAACCCTGTCTGTAACATTTAAGTCTCTGTAGCTGGTACTGATTTTACCTTAAACAAAACTATTTCTAAAAATGTTTATCTTCTGATGCACTGAGTAGGTATATATTTTTAGTTCATTGAGGTTTATTAATTTAATTTGCTTGCTGTGAGATTGAAGGGTATAAGCTCCATACCCAATGTTGGAAATTGCAACTTGTGGATCTGTGTCTTACATGGGAAATATGGAACTTTACAATCCAGCACTTTCCTTCCAGGGTGGAAATATAGGGGATTTTAGAGTTAAAATAAAGGTTTTTTCTGTTACTCTAACTCCTGTTGTATACCCAACTATACAACAGTGATGGATTATGTTCAATACATGAGCCAAACAAAATGATTTAATTGGCGGATTTGTTATATGTGCAGGCTGCTGAAGTTAGCCCTAACCCCTTTGTTTCCTTTCTCCCATCCCTTCACTGCCCTTTTTGGCAATAACATTTTATAAGAATTGCAAATGTTCCATCCTTTGTAAAAGTGAAACACTATATTTGTCTGGTCTCTGGAAACTCCTTGTGGAATCTTTGGCTAATAGAAACTGCTTGCATAGTAAAATGATTATTTTGAAAAATGATCACACACATTTTTAACAATAATCTTTTCTGAGAATGAATTTTAAAATGTCACTTAATGTTTTTAGTCCTTTTTAACAGGTAGTTGTGGAAACTTGATAGTGAGTTATGTTATTATGTAATCATTTTCACAATAAAGAATTAATAATAGCATTAACAAAATGAGGCTGCTCTCATAGAGGAGATTGGTGTGTATTGGATGCATTTTGATAGTTGAATATTTAAAAAAAAATATCTTGCAGTGGACAACAGATGAAGACTTAACTGAAGCAGTCCATTCTCTGGGAGTTAATGATATTTTGGAGATAAAATTTTTTGAAAACCGTGCTAATGGCCAGTCAAAAGGGTAAGAATTTAATTTAGTGTTTTCCATTATTGGTCACTGTTCTGCTACTGTGAAAGGTGGCTTGTCACTGTTTCCCACAGGTAACAATATATGAACACCTATGGCCCCCCCCCCCCCCAGTATGGCAAATTCAAACAATAATCACACAATTCAATAACTGCTGTATGGAATGGCTGCAAACTGTGCTGCAGTCAACGAAAAGCACAGGGGGTGCGTTGCAAGGGCAGTGCGGGGCGGACTGGAAAGGCACCCGGGGGGAGGAAGCAGGACAGCAGGGAACACTGGCTGCTCCTGGCTCCACCCTTCTTCCCTTCTCCAGGTGCCTCTCCAGCCTGTTGGGCGCAACCCGGCGCAGCTGGGAACAGTGGTGCTGCATGGAGAGGCTATGAGCTGCCTGCTGCACCAGATCATTCCCGCCGGGCTGCGGAGGCACCCAGAGCAGGGAACAGTAGGGCCACACAGAGAAGATATTCGCCCCGTGCTGCAAGGAGCAGCACGTGCAGCGGGCACGTCGCCAAGGCAGCGTGGGGTGAGCACCTTTTCTGCACGGTACCGCTGTTCCCTGCTTCCCGGCCCTGGGTATCTCCACAGCCCGGTGGGCATGACTCAGGTGCAGCAGGGAGCTCGTAGCCTCTCCATGCACCCCTGCTGATCCCAGCCGCACCAGGTTGCAGAGAGGCACCTGGGGCAGGGAAGCAGGGTGGTAGGGAATGGTGGCTGTTCATCCTGTGCTGCCCTAGGAATGCATCTCCTGTGGCTGCCTTTCTTTGAGGGGTGCAGCCCTGCACCACAGGAGGCAGGTGACTTGGACAGCAGGGTGTGGGGTGCTGGAACCAGGTAGGGAGTGAAGCCGAGTCGGGACCAGGGCCCACTGCGCCTGTGCATCTGCCCCTTGCCCTTGTAAGTGTCCACAGCAGTGGGGAGCCAGCCCTCCCATGACAAGTCAGCGGAGGCTCCATTCCACTCCCCGGTGGGGCCCTGCAGCTGCACACTGTGGCCCCAGGCCTCAAGTCCCCCCTGGCTGAACAGTAGCCCCAGCCCTGCCCAGCTCCCTCCCTACAGGGGCCTCAGTCCCCCTCTTCCCCCCCACTTACCTGCTGGAGCTGCCCTCGAGGCTACTTGGGGCCATGTGCATGTACTGTACATGCACGTGGCGCCCCCTGTCTCTCTGCCTTCCTTCCACTTCTTCCCAGCTCCCTGTAAGCTAGAACTCTGCCAGCCTGCAGGGAGCTCATTGCCAGCAGACTTTGAATAAGATCAGATTTTTCTCGCACAAAGCGAATTTTTGGTATAAATAAGGTCATTGCATATAAGCAAATTTGCACAAAATGAATTTGCATAGAGACCAGAGTGTACAAGCATAAATTCTAAAAACAATAGCATGTTTCACTGCTTTGTGGATGGGATTGTAATACCAGTATTCCCCAAGGAGCCTTTTTTTCCTATATTTCAGGGAGCCTTTTTTCCTACTAATTCTTTTCAGCCTTCCCCACTGTGAGTGCCAGTTTATTGTTTAATGTAGCCTGTTTTTGAAAACTTGACTTTTGTTTACTAAAAGCTTGTGCTTTTCAAGTGATCAGTCCATCCATTACTTCATCAGAAATATATTTTTTATTGTGTAACTGGCAGTGCATCTTAGTACTTCTTTTTTCTTGTGAGAACCTAACGTTCCTTAAGCCAGCTTTCAAAATGTAGTTAGGCTTAATATAGAATGGAAAAGAAGTCAGTTGTTTTTTGTCAGCTTTACGATAAAAGCTGAAAGATGTGAGCATATGTCCTTACATAAAAGATGACTACAAAGTCCTTTTGAAGTTGATTAAGCTTTTCTTAGTCTATTAACATAATTATTCAATGCAACGTAATTTTCTGTAAAAAAAAAAAAAAAAAAAAATGTAGAGAAGAAATTACTCATTCTCTACTGTACCCCACTTCTGAGTTACTCTGATAGTCACTGAAAGATGGACTTTTTCCTGAACATTTTTGTTATGTTTTGTTTACGATGTTTTTTCCCCTGATTTAAAAAAAATAAAATAAAAAAAAAAATAAAAAAAATCATTATATAACAAACATTTGTTGGACATGCAGTATGCATCTGTTAGTGCTATGGTTTAGTAGAAATAAAGTCTTTTCCCATTTTTGCACTCTTCATGAGTCTTTCAGATTGAATTATGGGAACTTTGGAATACTGAGTCTAAATTTACATTTACAGGTGTTTTGGTGGGGGTGGGTTTATGCATCCTGGAATCTGTGTTACGATATTTTAAGGATCTTTCTACCAAGCTGATAGTGTGTGGTGAGGTTTTGTCTGATAGCTTTTAAGTGTTCTTTTATTTTATGGGTTTTATCCTTTGCTTAGGAAACAGACTTTTCTGATGTAGGAAGCAATGATATAATTTTTTCCTTTCTTTTTAGGTTTGCTCTTGTAGGTGTTGGGTCTGAAGCATCCTCAAAAAAGTTGATGGATCTGTTGCCTAAAAGAGAATTGCATGGGCAGAATCCTGTTGTAACTCCATGTAATAAACAGTTCCTGAGTCAATTTGAAATGCAGTCAAGGAAAAGTAAGCTTGCTCTTACTTGCTTTCTCACTCGAGGGTGAGGGGAACCAAAGGTTTAGTTTAGGGAAATTGTTGCAGTTTATACTTAACTTAAAATGATATGCACAGGTCTCAGTGTAGTTGTGTGACATGTTTTATGGTCGACCGAGTAAAGTTCATTGTTGTTCCCAACATACATTCTTCTCAGTTTAGAGCTGGGTTGATTTATTTGAGTGCAGATGGGATAGTGGGTTGAAAAGAACTTTAATTTCCTCTTCAAAGAAGAGGACAAAATATTCTATTCCCAGATACTTTTGAAAAGCTTTCTAAATATTTTGGATGTTTTTAATTTTGTAGAACTGGAATTATTATTAAAGAACTACCCAAATTCCATCCTATTTGAATGTTGATATAGATATTTAGCGTTTGTGGTCATGAAATTTTTTACATCTGTTGTTGTCTTGTAATGCCACTCAAAACTGCACGTTGTTTAAAAAACAGTAACACATGAAAACATTCATAGATTTCATAGACATTAGGGCTGGAAGGGACCTCGGAAGATCATCGAGTCCAGCCCCCCACCCAAAGGGCAGGAAGTCAGCTGGGGTCATAGGATCCCAGCAAGATAAGCATCCAAATTTCTCTTGAAGGTGTTCAATGTAGGTGCTTGAACCACCTCCGATGGCAGGCTGTTCCAGACCTTGGGGGCTCGGACAGTAAAGAAATTCTTCCTTATGTTCAGCCTGAAACGGTCTTGCAGTAGTTTATAGCCGTTCAACCTCATCATCCCTTGGGGCGCTCTGGTGAACAATCGTTCCCCCAGATACTGGTGGTCACCCCTGATAAACTCATAGGTGGCCATCAGATCACCCCTGAGCCTGCGCTTTTCCAGGCTAAAGAGCCCCATAGCTCTCAGCCTGTCATCGTAAGGTCTTTTCCTGACCTCTGATCACGCGCGTGGCTCTTTTCTGGACTCTTTCAAGGTTCTCCGCATCCTTTTTGAATTGTGGGGCCCAAAACTGGACGCAGTACTCCAGCTGTAGCCTCACCAAGGCCGAGTACAAGGGGAGAATGACGTCCCGGGATTTGCTTGAGAAGCATCTATGGAGGCAAGCCATAGTGCTAGCCAGCGTAGCATTGCCGAGCCTATAAGGATGCTGCAGGTTTTTCCTCCCAAGGTGAAAAACCTTGCATTTTTCAGTGTTAAACACCATCAGGTTCTCATCTGCCCATTTGCTGAGCCTGTCCAGGTCAGCCTGGATCGCCCTCTTGTCTTCAGGTGTGGATGTTTTGCCCCAAAGTTTGGTGTCATCGGCGAACTTGGCCAGTCCGCTTCTGACTCCAGTGTCCACATCATTAATGAAGATGTTGAACAGTATGGGTCCAAGGACAGAGTCTTGGGGGACGCCACTGGTCACAGGGCACCATGACGATTGACTTCCATCAGTTACCACCCTCTGGGTCCGACCACGGAGTCAATTCCTCAGCCAGCAGATCGTGGTGGACTCAAGGCCACAACTGGCTAGTTTTGCCAAAAGGTGATCATGGGATACCAGATCGAAGGCTTTTTTGAAGTCAGATGTATATGACATCAATCTCTTCTCCCTTGTCCAAGTTATAGGTCACCTGGTCGTAAAAGGAAATGAGATAGGTTAATCAAGACCTAACCGCAACAAACCCATGCTGGCTTTCCCTCAGGATTTTGGCGTCGGCCAGTCCATTAAGGATGGCCTCTTTAATAAACTTTTCTAAGACCTTCCCTGGGATAGCGGTCAGTCTAGACTGATCAATGTGAATAAATCATTCATTTGGACATTTGCAGTTAAATGGAAATAGATTCTGAGATTTGCCTGGGTTGTGTTCATTGCAAGGGGGGGGGAAGTATGATCTGCTGTATTACCGCTTTAGGATCTGATCTGGGTGGGAGAGATGTGGCTTGGGCCATGGCATGAGTTTGAGCAGCCTTTAGAGCTATTGCAATTTGTTTCTGTCTCAATGGGTTCCAGGTGCCATTCCGTGAATAAAGGGGTGCTGACACAGGGTGGCGTTCTGTCAAAACCCCTTTCCTCACCACAACTCTATACTGAGAAATGGAGAGCAAGAAGGGGGCTGTACATCTAGTTCTGTTAGTCCCGGTTACACTGTGGATATCCTCAAGTAGTGAGTTACCCCTGGTGGCTTATGAAATTTACCTCCCTTCCCTCTGAAAGGAAGGAAACCATTTTAGATTAATAAAACTCTGTAATATGAAGTGTAAGCTTGTTATGTGACTTTATAAATGGAACTTTTGACATGAGTAGGTATATTTAATGAGTTTTTTAATCTCGCCTTTTATTCCTATATCAGGCCTGGTTCCCTTCTTATTCTGTGTGCAAGAAAAAAACCCCCAAGCATAAAGTTTAAATGAAAATGCCTAGTCCTCTACATATGCCTCAAACTGTCAGCACAAGTGAAAGTTCTTTGGTGTCTTACTCTTCTTCATTATTTAGCAGTAGAAACCCTAGATGAGTCTGAGCCAGATCCTCATTTCCTGCCCTTTTGGTATGCTTCTGTGCTTCCTTTTTCCTTAAAGGAGGCCCAAAGATCTGTTATAGAAGCAGCTAGAAACGACCACCTTACATTATTAGACACTTATTTCTCTACAGGCTTCATTTGAGAATCTTTAAGTGAACTGAATGTGGTACAGAGGGTTAAGAGATTTGAGTGTGGTTATTAACTATTTCATTAATTTCCCGATTGAATTAGAACTAATCACTTTACCCTATGTAACTTTTTTCCTAGCAATAAAACAGGAGTAAGCATTTTAAAACATCTTGAAATCTGTGCACCTAACTTAAGGAATTAATGCTTGTTGTTGTAGAACCTGTCCAAGAGCACTCAGCAGCACTAGGAATTGAAAAATGTGTATCTTGCTTCATGTTATATAATAAAAATATATTTTTGCTTCATCACTGCAGCTACACAGTCAGGTCAGATGTCTGGAGAAGGTAAAGCTGGTCCTCCAGGAGGTAGTTCACGTGCAGCATTTCCACCAACTAACAGAGGGCGAGGCCGTTTTCCAGGTGCCATTCCAGGTGCGGACAGATTTCCTGGACCTGCAGGGCCAGGAGGACCACCGCCTCCTTTTCCAGGTAAAAATGCCAGAACACTTGCTTAATTTCTGGGTTACTGCTTTCTTTTCTTTCTTGCATTGTGACAGTGCTGGTCTCAGAGCGCTGTACTTTTATTGAGATCCAGGGATTTGATTCAAGATACTTTTTATATTGAATGGTGAATTTTAGTGAAAAACATGCTATACCTCTTCACTGGTGGTGAGCATACATCACTTGACTTGAAATGCTTGTATCAAAGGCACTGGGACAGGTATAAATAATTGTGATTTACTAAGGATTAGTTTTTTACATTTTTGGAAAATTTATTTAGTATGCCAGGAGGAGGTATTTGCACTAGTTTTAAGGTAGATGCCTTTTACCTTCGTATGGGCTTGACTTCTCTAAAGCGTAACTTAAGTTGTTTCGATGGTGACTAACTAGTGACAGTGTGCATACTGTAGAACAGCATGGGAGCCAGCACCACAGTAATAGCTCAGATGTCGAGAGTCCTACAGCTTTAACTTGTACCCCTTAAACTTGAGCTAATTGACTTATTCATTAGCTAGGTCAGGTTTAAAGCACCACTTAACTTGAGCTAGAGACCTTTGTGGGTGGACAGGAATCAGGTCAGGGTAATGCATGGAGTTATATCTTAAGCTAACACTGCAGTGAAAACAAGCTCTGTGTGTGTTGTGGGGCAAATGTAAAGCTCTTTAAACATTATTCTGTAGCAGAAGTAGTAGTCTGTGACCACTGAATTAAATGGGACTGTCAAAATGAAATATTACTAACTTAAGAACATAATTAGTTAATTTGGCTACAGATAGCAGTAATTTTTCCTACCAGTATTTGTGGTTTTATGATTACTCTTCCATATTTTTCAAGGACTTTTGTGTTTTCTCTCTGTGAAAGATCTGCACTGATTTACAGGAGCTGGAAAAGATTTCAGACTTTGTTGCTGTTATAGCTAACACCAGGTGACAGATTTACACATGATAATGTAACTTTTTTTTAACATTGATGGTGTACTTTCAGATATTAGTCAGTAGTCAAGTAACTGAAATTTGCCAGATGTTTATTTGCCTTTTTGAAGGTGAGAATATATGATGCTTGCGTACACTATAAACTCTTTGGTGATTGGGGGAAGTCTTGGTTAAATGGCTCTAATTACAGAAATAATGTTGTATTCCCCCCTTTTTTTTCAGCTGGACAGAATCCACCACGTCCACCCCTAGGTCCTCCTGGTCCACCAGGCCCTCCAGGTCCCCCTCCTCCTGGTCAGGTTCTTCCTCCTCCATTAGCTGGGCCTCCTAATCGCGGTGACCGTCCTCCTCCTCCAGTTCTGTTTCCTGGACAACCCTTTGGTCAACCTCCACTGGGGCCACTTCCTCCTGGACCTCCACCTCCAGTTCCAGGCTATGGCCCACCTCCAGGTCCACCGCCACCACAGCAGGGTCCACCTCCTCCACCAGGCCCTTTTCCCCCTCGACCCCCTGGTCCTCTCGGGCCACCCCTGACACTTGCTCCTCCTCCACATCTTACTGGGCCACCTCCAAGTGGTCCCCCACCTGCACCACATGTGAATCCAGCTTTCTTCCCCCCACCTGCCAATAGTGGTATACCTACTTCAGACAGCCGTGGTCCACCACCAACAGATCCATATGGTCGACCTCCACCATATGACAGAGGTGACTATGGGCCACCTGGAAGGTGAGTGCTTTTTGTTTCATGTGCTTTATAGCGCACACATTGCTTATAGGAAGCACCAAATTCTTTTACCTTTTATGCATCAGCGTTTTTGCTTTCTTCAGCAAAATATCTGTCAGAGGGTTTTGCTAGGACTTAGGAGTATTTTCAAATGCAGTATCAGTTTCCCCATTCTTCCCTCTTTGACTCCTACTTTTTTTTTTTTTCTTCAGTATTCATAATCTTGCTTTTGCCACTGACTGTTTGCTCCCTCATGTTTTGTCTGCAAATGTGCCTATCATTTCCTGTGCAAGAGATTGAAGTACATACTTCTGTCCCAGCTGCACTGCTAGGAAATCTGTATCTTCATCTTTGCTTCTTTTGACTGTTTGACAGCTGTCATCTTATGGCCTCCTGTGTCCAAGTTCTTCACACTCTAACCTGAGAAAAAATAATGTGTTTCTTACAAATACAGCACTGTGTTATGTGAAGTACAGACAATAAAAAGAATATGGAATTCCTCAAGCAACCCCACTGTTCCCCACACTTCAAGATTCAATTGAAAGTCTCCTTGCATCAAAAACCTCCATGGACTTGCTTCAGCTTCTGAGACTTTACCTTTTTCCCAGCTCTATCTGTCCATCTAGTACTGACCTTGCTATATAGTTGGGAGAAGTGTCTTTTCTTCAACTCATCCCATCTGGAACAGCTCCCTTGATTCTCTTTGTCTCAACTTTCATATCTTTCAGATCTTATTTGAAACGTCTCTTCTTTTTATGTACCCTTTTTGTTTCTCCCTCCTCTTGCTGTTTTCTTATTTTCTGCTATTTTTGTGTTTATGTTCTGTGAAATATTTTGGGATAGTACCTAAGAAAGGTAGTACACAAAATAATATATATTTATCCATATGGATCATATGAGTTATGATGCTTCCAGTATGAGGAAGACATCCTGTCCTTTTAATATTAATTTTGTTTTTCTCTTTGTTGATTATATGGTTCTGGTTTTTCAGCTTATTGATCAAATTATAAAGTAAAATATATTTATAAATTTAATGTTCTTACAATAACTGTATAAAAACTAGAGCATTTGACATAATTGACTAAAATATAATGTTAATAAAACAGTCTCTTTTGATAGTCAGTAGCTAGATTGTCCTCAAGTTGCTGGGTGGTGGGGGAGAAGGGGAAAACAAGGCAGAACCACTGCACTTACTGTCCAGTATTTTCATTAATCATGTCAAAACTACAATCCATAACTATTTAAATTGTCATTAATTATATATCATAGGCGTTTCACTGGAAATAACATGTCCATAAGAGAAAAATTACATATTCCATTCTATGGGAGGCACACGAAAAATAATACTCAAAACTCAGGGAGGTATGAATTTTTAGACATTTCCTCTTATGCTAAACTGGCTATAGGATCTTATTCCACTTCTTGCACTTAAGAGGATAGCATTGCTTATCGTTCTGCATTTTCTTTCTACCAGAAGAACTAACGCTGTTTTAGAAATATTATCCAGCAGTGAGCCAGTTTAACAGTGTCCTTTTTTTCAGTCTCATTAACACCATCCTCCAGGTTTTCTGTATAATGCAGAAACTGGCTAATAGGAAACTACAAAATTGGAGGGAAAACTTGCTTATCTTCATTTAGTTTCAGTTAGTTTCCATTTTTGTGGAAACCAGATGTGGGTCATTGTTAAAATTTTAACAGCATTTAGCACTATAGAGGGGTATTTTTTTTAAGTGTAAGCTTGATCCTTTCCTAATAGGATAGATACCATGTTAAAACAGTAAGTTAGAGTGCCCTGGAGTTTGACCAGAAAAACTAAAAGTAGGAGTAAAGGCTTGAAATGTTGATCAGAAAATGGAGCATTAATAGTGCTAGACAGTATTTGCTCTTTATCTGTTTCACAGTGTGAAAGTCCTGGTCAAACAGAGCAGGAGACTGGGAGTCAGGAACTCGAGTTCTAATTCCAGTTTTGATATAAACTCCATCTGTAACTTTGGGCAAGTTGCTTGACCCCCTTGCCTCAATTTTCCCATTCAGAAAATTAAACTTATACTTAAGTCCTAAGGGTGTTGTGTGTATTAACTAATATTTATAAATCATTTTGGATACCCAAAGTATTCAAGTGTTTCTAAATATTCAATGTAAATAAATGGTTCTCACCCTTAGCATTGCATATTTTTAGACTACAGATTTTATACTGTAAAACAGTCTTTCAAAACCAATGAACAAAACAAGCCTGCTTTCTGTCCTGTTTGTCACTTTGCTTAAAGTTGCAGATTTGAATTGTTGAGCACTGCAATGCTATCTTCAGAAGCTTTAGCTAACTGTTTTAAACTTTAGTTTTATTACTTGCAGAGAAATGGATGCTGCAAGAACACCCTTAAGTGAAGCAGAGTTTGAAGAAATCATGAATAGAAATAGGGCTATCTCAAGCAGTGCCATTTCAAGAGCTGTGTCAGATGCCAGTGCTGGTCAGTAAATCTTATTTAGCGTCCCTCCCATTTTACCCCCTGTAAGCAATTTCTAATTTTCCCGTTTGGGACCCTAGAGATTTGAGGCCACCTTGAGCCTCCTCCCCCCTCACCCGTTTATTATTATTTTTTTTTTATTTTTTTTAAATGAGTGCTGGCCTTGCAGTAGGCACATCTGATGGCTTGGGTGCATATCTAAATTTGCACTGCACTCAAATTTGTGTGATTTGTCTTCTGGATAATAGTTATAGACCATGTTCTAATAGCTGGTCCATAGCAGTAGCTTGGTTGGTTTTTGCAGAAAAGAACAGTTGTTCAAAGGGGAAATAATTTTACATAAGGAGGCTTAATTACAATTTGAAATATTTTAATTCACTAATAGCCATCTGTTTTCTTCTTTGCAGGGGACTATGGAAGTGCTATAGAAACCTTAGTAACTGCAATTTCCTTAATTAAACAATCCAAAGTATCCGCTGATGATCGTTGTAAAGTACTTATTAGCTCTCTTCAGGATTGCCTTCATGGGATTGAGTCCAAGTCTTATGGATCTGGATCAAGGTAAAACTATCCTATTTCATCTATTAGCTGCAGTCCAAGCCAGCAAGATAAAAGGCAAAGAGGGGGCGGGAAATGTTTTTACTAATATCACTTTACAGATGAGGAACTGAGGAACAGTGGGGCTCATCTTTGCTCCCAAGTGCTGCATTTACGTGTGTGCCTGAGATCGCAGCACTTGGAGCTGAGCCAGAGTAGCCCTGGCCAGCAGGGAGCCCAGGGGTCAGCCTGCCAATCTGGGGCAGATCTGATCCAGCTCAATGGGCATCTATACACATGCAACAAAGGTGCTTTATTTAAAGTGCTTTAGGTTAATGTGCTTTAAAAAAAAAATACGTGTGCCATGGCTTCATGTAAAGTTCATGCCTTGTTGTAGTTCTGTGGAGTAAGCGGCATGGGCACCAGACACTGCATGATTTAATTGCACTGTTGTGAGTGACAGGGTGAATGAATGGTATGTGCCATCTCCTTTGTTATAAAGAAAAAGTAAAGTAACAGAATAAAAATCAATTTGGTCAATCTTTATCATTTTCACAACACCCTCCATGGAGGGAGAGGAGGGAGTGATTGATTTAGGCAGGAGGTGCACATGGCATGCTCTCCACTCTGCCATCTCAGTGAGCCTATCTGCAGCTGTGCTGGAAGGGGAGGGCACATAGGAGATGTAGGGTCAAGAGACCCCCACCCCATAGTCCAGAACCCCTAGGGACTTCTGCACCCAGGGATATAAGAGGGCTTCTCTGGTCTCCAGTCTACTTCCCAGATCCAAGGCAAGGAGCAGGGTGTTCACACAGTGAGTACCAGCTGGCACACCACCCCATAATGTGTGCGTGGGCAAGCCCCACAGACAAGCCCCTTTCCTACCCTGCACTCCACCCCTGCTGATCACCCCCAAAAAGGGGCTGGCCACCTGAGACCCTCTGCAGCCAGCCCACTTACCATAACACTGGCAGGCTCCCCTGCCAATTCCCCTGCACTCAGGAGGGGAGACGGTGGGGAATACACCCACACCCCACTGACACTAGATGGCCACTGCACACCCCCCAAAGTGGGGAACCGTACACCCCCTCCCCAAGACCCCTGCAATCCCCCAAGCCCAGCTTATCAGACCATATCAGGTTCCCATGCACAGTGGGGGCCAGTGAACAATACTCTCCTTACCAGAGACCCCAAAAAGCCCCCCCAGGGTCCTTTGCACATTTGGGGGAAGCGTGTTAAACACTTGTGCTCCCCTTCACAGTGAGGGGAGGAAACCCCCTATTAGACTACCTACAGCTGAGGAAACAAGGTGGACCAAGAGAAACTCGCTGGAGAATCGTGCAAGGAAGGGAGAGTGGACTGTGCGATACCTGACACAATGATGGGAATGCACAGTGGCAGGCTTTCTGCATTTGCAGTGACCTGGCCAACCACCTCCTAGCTACCTTGCAAAGTGAGTGGGGGAAGTAGGACCACAGTGCTGTGTGTGCTGGTGCCCTTGGCTGCTGAGTGACTCGACAAGGGCTGTTTTTTAAAAGTTATCTGACACGGTTAATTTGTCAAATTTTAAAGTTTTAAAACTGTATTTTTAAAATAAAGTAAGAACTACTTATGCTGGCTGGCTGGTGCAGAAGCTTCCCTTCTCCTGAACAACATGGAGAAAATGACCTTTTGTGGGTGACCCTGAGCAAATGATTGAGACCACCGACATAGCTGTAGCGGCAGCAGCATGGAGCATGCCACTGGCCTTGCTGTTGCTCAGGGTCTGGGCAGGTTTCTGGGAGATGTCACGGGAGGTTTCCCCCCTTGCTGTTATGGGGAGTGCGGGCATTTAACCTGCTTACTTCAAGTGTACGTGGGCAGAGTCGACCCAAACAGGCTGCGGGGCCCCATCCCTATCCTGTGCACCCTGGACCCAAAGAAGCTGCTACCACCGTCAGCATCAGGGGCGGGGAGCAACCGACCGGATGCAGAACTGGCA